AGTATCAGAGAGAAAAATCTATGCTTAAGAGATATGGAAATCATATAGTCTCAAGGCAGCCCTCTTCCCTTCCCCCCAAAAAGGGCTACATGCAGGACTTAGCAGCTTTTAAGGTGATGAAGAGGAGAGGCTCTAAGGGAGGGAGAAGGAGAGAAGAGCTTTCTGCAGGTTCTGTCTATAATCTGCGCTGCTCCTCATTGAGAGAGGGCTCCATAATCATTAGAGGAGCTAGTACCAGTGTGTCTGATGAATAGGCTTGATGGTAACCCTGACGGCCCCAGCAAAGAATAATAGCCCATTTTGACTTAATAGCCTGGATAAGTCAAGCTCCACCTTCAGTGGGGGATGAGGAAAGAGGAACTGGATGGAGAAGGACTGCCTGCTTAGGTTACATGGATACTTTAAGAAAATGTCTGCCAACAAAACAGCAATCAGGAATACAGGCAGGAAGGTGAGGTAGGGAGTGGGAGGGAGGAAAGGAGAAACAAAAGGAAGAGGGGAAGAAAAATGGAAAGGAAAGGACAGCCATTGGCTTGTTTTTATTTATCTAAAACTAATATACAACTTATTATTGCCAGGTTCTGTTCTCAGCATTTTATAAATACTGACTCACTAAATGTTTTAGTCAGCTTTTTCACTGCTGCAACCAAAAGACCTGACAAGAACAATTTTAGAGCACAGAGTTTTATTTGGCACTCACAATTTCAGAGGTCTTAGTCTATAGAGAGATGACTCCATTGCTCTGGGTCCTAGGCAAGAGAGAATGTCAAAAAAGTGTGGTAGAGGAAAATGGCTCAGGACATAGCACCAGGAAGCCAGAGAGAATTTTTCTCTCACCATTGACAAAATACATACCCCAAAGGTATACCTGCAATAGCCCACCTTCTTCAGCCTAACTATAGTTACCACCCATTAATCCCTGTCAGAGGATTAATGCGCTGATTAGGTTAAGGATCTCATAACCCAATACCTCTAAACTTTCTTGCATTGTCTCACACATGAGCTTTGGAGGACATCTAATATCTAAACAATAACATTAAATCCTCATTATCAGCTTCATTTTACAGAAGAGGGAAAGCTAAGCATGTGAAGAACTAAGAATAACCTAACAGCATCTGGCCAGCCTAAGGCAGAAACAGGACTTAAACCCAGGTAGCACTACAGCAATCCATGTACTTAACCACCCACTATCATAGAAGTCTTATATCCTGTTTTTAATGTATGGGCTATGGGTCTGAATGTCCCATAAAACAGCCCTTAAAAAACTCAATATTGGGTTAAGGAATTTTTGTACCTTCTCCAAAACTGACTAGTTTAAAACAGTAGCTACTTTCTTGTGGATGAATATAAGTAGAGCAAAGAGCAAAGGGTGGTTTTCCTTTGGGTTATGAAAGAAAAATAATAGCCCATGAGCCAATTAAAAATAAATAAGAGCCAAGGTTCAGCCAATATGCCTCCAAAATCCTGAAAAGCTAGCATTATATTCTCAGAATGCACCTGTGGCTAGGAGGAACAAGAAGTTTAGATATTACCAGAAAACAGCTTTGGGCACAAATGTTACATTATCCATGAAGGCTGGTGCAAATGGGCCACCAGGAGAATTGAGTTGGGATGGTTTCAAGAACCAGCAGCCCACAAATTCTAGTCCCTCAGGTCCTATTTCCCAGTCTGGCTAATCCCACATTCTCCCTTCCATTATAAAGAATTTTGTCTCAGAGTACTCTTCTATCTTGCCTAGCAGTTGAACTTCCTAAACTCCCTGCATTACCCAGTTTACTGAACAACAGTTCATCCCAGTTATGAATATAATTTTTTTCTCTCCTATAAGGATACTCATCCCCACATAAACCCACCTTAAAAGATTCTCAACTCCAGCCCATTACAAACTCCCTGCTCTAAATGGTATGAATCATTATCATTAGGAAAATCAAGGCAGTCACATCAGCTCTTCCCTTGAAGAATTTTCCTAAAAGTACCATGCTATAGGCCAAAATGGCTTGGGGCAGGAGAGGCTTAGGTAAAACTCGTGGTGACATTCATCCTTTGATCATTCCATTCTTTTGTGAGCTAGATGTCAAAGAAAGCAAACCCAAGTAAATACCAATTTTCTGAGTTCCTTTCTATTCTAGCTGTCGGCTTCTCTTCGTGGGTTCCTCTCTGACCTTGCTTTTGAAAATATTCCTCCCACTCTGAGTTTTTCCTACCTTTGTACCTTGACTCTGTGCCCTTTTCGTTAGAGTTTTCTTTGTGTCCTGTTGGTGTACTTCATTCGCTACTCTCATCCTCCTTGGATCAGGGATGATATATTTTGTGCATCAAAATTACAGCAGAGAAAGTCCTTTGATAAACATCAAACTACGTGTCATGAAGGTGTCTTCTAAGGTCTTCCAGGAGTATAGAAAAATGCCCATAAAAAGGTAAACATCAACTTGGGCTTCAGTTATCAGCTGCTGTCAGCTTTCTGAGAGCATTATATTATAAAGCCTGTCTACAAATAAACAGTGTGTTTAAAGCTAGATTGCTTTATTATGGAGGAATAAATGCAGCTGTGGAAATTAGCAAAGATCTAATCAAGGAAAGCAGAGTCTCAGGAGAGTACCTCTCTTCTAGTTAGATCACTGCCTTCCCCTCAGGCAAGTGAGGGACAGTAGGGATGGTCCCCACTTTTCTCTGTCTCAGAATCCTGCCCATCTCATGCTACCCAATCTGTTGTGCTGATTTGCCTGCATAGAAACAGCAGAGCAAGCATGGGGTGGGCTCTCCCCAGTCACAGGGAAACTAATAATGGCAAATGCAACAAGAGCCTTCCAGGGAAGCTAAGGTACAGGAAGCCCTAGGGTGAGTCCAGTAGTCATCTTCTACTATTTCATGGGCATATGTCCCACCTTGGAATCAGATTTTGAGTCTCCAGAGCAAGGGCCCTTTCAGTGCCCATAAAAGCTTGACTGATGAAAACAAAAATGACTGTTCCCCCCATGCTCACCCACCATCCACTCTGGGACCTTGTTATGACTGACTAGACTATGTCACTATGACATTTACATAATTTTCTGTCGGTTGCTTCTCTTTGTTATGAGTTGGAAAGGGGGCCAGGACAGTACATTATCTGCTGATCTGTGGAGTCTTCTGTGGATTGAGAAGAATCTGTTGTGTCTATCTTGGAAAGACCACAATAGTTAGTTGCTATGAGTCCAATAATGCTACAAAAGAAGGCTCATTTGCTTGCATCTAATATTCATGTAATAGTAACATCAGAGGCTGCAGAGCCCAATAAACCTTTGATAGTGTCCTTGCAGATCATTTGCTGCTACCGTGAGCTCCCAGAAACTAGAAACAAGAACATGTCTGCATTGAAAATTCTAAAATAGCTCTATTTATATTGTTCTTATAATGAAAAGAGAATGTTTTACATTTCCCAGAAATCATTGTACATGTTCTCTTAATACCCAAAATGGTAAATGGGATGAAATGGGCACATTATACTCTGGGGTAATCAGTTCAAAGTTTTTTCAAAAAATATCCAGTCTAGTCTTTCTAGTCCATGGGTCCCAGTAGCACCCCTATCTATTGGATATGCAGAGTAGAGCCAAAGGATAGGCCTGACAAAAGCAAATAATACCTTTTCCTGACATGGGGAAAAAATAAGCTAATGTTTATAATTTTCTCAAATTTAAACTTTATTCCCATAAATTTTACTTAAATATTGCCTATTGCCAGTTATACTGGCTAGGACACAGGGTCAAATGAACAAATGGCCAAGTGGTAAAAACTATTTGCAGAAAAGGGGTGTTTTGATTGTGGCAAATCAAGCCTATATGCTAGATCTAGTGGGAAAAGGAAGTTTTGTCTATGAATATAAGGATATCTCAGGGCTCATAAGAGCAAAGTGGAGCTGGGTCAGACACTATCTCAGCTTCTTCACATCTTCATTCTCCTTTCTCTTTTCAACTAGCTTATTTTGCTAACTAGTCTACTCAGAACACAGCTGCCCAGATCTCCCCAGGTACATGTTAACTGCCTACTATATAAACTGCCTCTTTCATCATACTTCCAAATACCTAAAAGAGAAAACCTTATGGGCCCAGTTCAGATCAAGGTTCTATCCCTAGTCAAATAAACTATCATAGGTGTCTAGCGACGAGGCCACACAATATCAGATGGTCACAAGAGGTCCAACTTGTAATTTGAGCATTAGGGCAGGGCAGTTTCAAGGGAGGAAGATGGTGGTGAGAGGCTGCATGATGTCCCAAAAGAAAGGTATTACCTGGGAATAAAATGTGCCAGTGCTCCAGCACACCACGAGAACTCCATGGATCCAAGCTGAACACCACTGAGATGCAGTGACGAAATACAGAGGAATTTTCAAATGTTCTCTGGAAACACTTTATTTTTTTTTTCCTTAGACCACATAGGAAAAGAGAAGGGTACCTTTCTAAAGTATCTCATTTAATCCTATAAGATGACCTGATAAACTCTGTTTTGCAGATGAGACTATTAAGGCTCAGAAAGGTTAAATAGCTGGCACAAGGACACCAGCTAGTAAATGGCAGAGCAAAATCCAAACCCAAAATCTGACTCCAAACCCCTAGTAATGATCCAATCATTCCTCTGTGTGGTTTTCCAAATGAGCCCAGAGATAAATCTCCCCTGATCAGATATATAGCCTGAACTAAAGACAAGCATTTATACAAAAGCTGACTATCATTTTCTGTGGCTGAGGCTTCTCCTGGGCCTCACTTTGGAAAGGACTAATTCAGCCAGCCCAACCTACAAGGGTTCTGGCTGTAACACAAAGCTCTCCAGCATCCCAGAGTCAGAAGCCCCGCCCATCTCCACTTACCCCTGCAAGTACCTGCCCCAGCTACCCAGCTTCAATGCTCAGGTCGCCCCCAGGTCAAACACTTCAGCCCCAAGTTACTTCTAAATTGTATACTGTTCAAGTGCTATCAATGCCATTTTCCTGTTGCGTTTTGTTTTTGTTTTTTGTTTTGTTTTTACAGTTCGTTGCTCATCCTAACTGTCAGCAGCAATTGCTTACCATGTGGTATGAAAATCTCTCAGGCTTACGTCAACAGTCTATCGCTGTGAAATTCCTGGCTGTCTTTGGAGTCTCCATAGGCCTCCCTTTTCTCGCCATAGCCTATTGGATTGCTCCCTGCAGCAAGGTACAGACTGCTTAAGGTGCATGTCGTTTGCAGTTATTTCTTCTCTCTTCTTAGCATGACCTGAAGTTCATGTTGTTCAAATCAGCACTGATTTTTTCCCACTATTATTGAAGAATAATAGTCCTGGGCTGGGGATGTAGCTCAGTGGTAGAAACCTTGCCTAGCATGAGAGTAGGCCCAGAGTTCCAGCCCAAGAACCAAACTAAATTTTAAAAGATAATAGTTCTAAGATATCTAGCAAAAGTAGCAAGTCATATAAGAGGGAAAATGTTAAAACCTGTTTTTTAATCATCATTTTTAAAGAGAGAAGAGCAACAAAATGGGAAATTTGAAACATGTGAGGTATAATCTAAATGGATCCATAACAGAACAGAGAAAGAATAAAGGCACTTTTCTTCTTCTAATTATGCAATGTGCTAAGCATGTCCTCCAAACCCATAATACAATCATCATAATTATGGTAATAGTAATAGCCAGCACTTTTTGAGTACTTTTTCTTTGCTAAGTCCTTTTCATGGACTTTTCTTTTCACTCCCTCAATTACATTATAACATATATGCTTCATTGAAGTCGGTTCAGAAGTGAGAATTAGCAGGCTGAGAATTAAATTGCAGCTCATTCTGAGGCACTGCAGACCCATTGCCACATTGTTCTTGTTTTCCTAGCCTCCTTGATGATGTTCTGGCCCTCATGAGCAATTAATTAGGTTACAAGAGAAAAAAGGCAAAATATGACCTCAAAAAGTGCAGGGCTGGTTTTTAAGAGAATATGTCAAGGGACAACTGAAGACAAGAGGAATGGTATCTCCAGGTGCCAAATTATCCCACTGCCTGTTCTATTACCCACCCCATAGCCCAGCCATTTGGTCCAAAGCCATAGAAAGAACCAGTACTCCAGCTCAGGGCAAGAGTTAGTGTCTAGAAAACCAAAGCATGCAAAGATTTTAAAATACGTTTCATGGGTTTAAGATTGTTTTTAAAGGGTCCAAAGCTACATTTATCTAGTGATAGATTTTTAAAGAAATTAAGGTAATCAACACTCAAGAGAAAATATGACTACAGGGAGATTAGATCCACAGGAAATTTGATCAGCTAATGTGCTTAATAAAAATGTCACCAGTGAGCTGACCCTCTTGTCAAGTCCATTTATAGAGAACTCAGTCCAGAATAATGGGCCTAAGGCTCCAGGGGTGCAGCAGAGGCCACCTAACCAGGCAGGCAATGATTTGACTGTCTCAGAGTCAGTTAGGAATCATAGAGGGAGGCCAGGCCTCAAACACTGTCTTCTATGGACAATATTGAAAATAAAAGCCAAATACTGAGTGTTCACAGAATGTGACCTTATATTTATTGAGAATTGTGTTTCTACAGTAGTCTCATGCTATGTACTTCTAAATAATAATACATATGTAGATAAAACCACTTTTGTTCTGTCTTTTTTTATGGACAAAAAAAGCTCAGAAAACAAAAAGAAACTAACCAGATTTAGAGCTAGACTAGAGCTGGTCATTGGTTGCAGGCACGTGTTTTGATGCTGGAATCATCTAGTATGTAGTGGAAATTGGATCCTGGCCTTTACCCAGAGACTGCAAGGATAGAGACACTTGCCTATACTCTCTCTGAGCCTCAAAACTGATTCTAGGCTTTTCAATCATTAAAATAACAGCATTGTGGAGAAAATGCTGCCAATCCTCACTTTTGCTACAAAGCTAAATATGACAGCTTCCAAGAACCTGGAACTAGTCAACAACAGCAAACTGATTTGCCTCTGCCTGCCTGGTAGCATGGAAAACAATTCAGAAAAAAATGATATTCCAGCTGCTGATGAAATTTTTTTAGCTTTTTGGTAGGTTTGAGAAGAATCTTGGCAAATATGCATTTAAGACCCACCAAAAACGTATGTAGTACAGGAAGGATATTCTGGAATTTCTCAGGCCCAGTAAATCCAGGAAACTGATACCACCCTAAAGGGGATAAGGGTCAGATCTGTAGCAGTCTACTGGAACATTCTGGAGGAAATGATTACAGGAAAGTTTTGGCCCATGACTGGGGCTTTCTCTCCTTTGTTCAAATACTTGTCTTATTGACATTTGATGCTCCCAAAACTTCCAGTTAGACTAAAAGTTAAAGCACTCAAGATAAACATGGGCTGATCATTAAGGCACTTGTCATTTCTGTGTACTTTGTAGATTCAGGTCTGAGCTCAATGCAGGGGATGGGGCATGTTGATGGCTGAGTGACAAGTCTTCATCTGTGGTATTAAGATGACTCTTGGTGGCATCATTCATAACAAGGAAAGATTGCCTCATTAAAGAGCTTTTTGAACATGCTCTGAGGCAGCCAAAGGACAGATGAAACAGTGAAGATATTTTTAGTTTTTCCTTTCACCACTTAGAAAGAAGTCTTTTCAAGTTATTACTGGGAATTACAGAGAGGTCACATCTAGCGTGTGACAAAACCAGCCCTCTCTGAGGACTCCTGATGTGCAGAAGACCATGTCTTCCCAGGAGGAAGGCATGGTGAAGAAGTCTGCTAATGGGCTGGTATTCCTCCTCCCAATGGGGTCATTGCCATTATGTCTGTCTATTTCTGTAGTTTCATGAAAAATACAGTGCATTCCAGGGATTCCATGTTTTAATGATATTATTACACCTCCATCTAAGAAACTAGACCTTGATATTTTTTACAAATATATTTATAAACCACTACTGCCAAATTTCATCAACTGGCTGATGTCCATCAATATCAGCAAATGTTGGAATTTCTGTTTTCAACTTAATAGTGCATTTACTTCCTAATAGTTTCAGTTCTAATTTAGGAACTATTAGGAACAACAAAATTACTTGATTAGCCTGCCAAGATTAACTCATTATTTATTTCCTATTAGATTCTCAAGGCTGTCAACTCTATTTTTATATTATTTTAAGTTCCTGAGGATCCCTAAGAAAGGCAGTTAAATAAGGGGGTATAAAACTAAGGATGTCAACAGGAGCCAGTTTATTAATGTTGGTTGAAGAGGGTAACCAAGTCACAGATGAGTACATATGGTGATAGGTGCACACATGAAGCATGTGACAGGTTTGTCAGGGTCAAGAAAAAATAGTGATTTTGTTTTATTTATCATTTCTCATTGTTATTACCAACATGGTTGACAGGCCGCTGGGAGAACAGTGAGTTCCTAATCACATGGATGTGTGTAGTTAGACATTTTTTCCTAGAGAGTTCTCTATCCTCTCAACAAAAGCCCCAAGGCCAAAGGGCCTTAATGGCTGATTAGCCTATTCTGCATCCTTTGCTGTTTCATTCTGATTTACAATTTAGATTGTTTGCTTAAAGTCTCAGAGCTGAAAGAATATCAGTCATCCTCAAGGATTCAGTGTCTCCACTGCATGTAGACTGGGGCAGAAATCAGCACAATGAAAACATTGAGACTTGCACAAGTTCTGATTCTAAAAGTATGACAGGAAAAGCTACTCTCTCCATTACCATACCTTAGCTATTTAGCTATCCCTAAAATTAGTCCCAGAAATCAGGAAGGGAGAGCTGTAAACAACTTTAGAATTTGACCTGTTATCTTTGTAGTGTGCAATCTTATCCTTACTGCCACATAACTCTTGCTTAAAGGCATATCTAAGTGTTTGTCATTATCCCCCTCCATTGTCCCAAACAAGAAATTCTAGTGAGAAAGTCATGAATAAGCAAGCAGCTTTTAAAGATCTATACTTAAAACCACATGTTCTAGCAGCCAAGTAAGAGAAGACAGTGACTCCAAAGGCCTCTACCCAACATTCACTCGTACCAGGAAGATAACAGAAAAATTACAGAAAAATCACAATACAATTTTTTGAATGGTAGCCATGGAGGGAAATTTGTGCCAAGCAATAGAGAACTGCTGTTCTAACACTGATAATACTTCTACCCCTCAGTCCAAAAGGATAGTCCACTCTGCTGGGATAGGACTTAAGAATTCCAGAGGCTGGTCACTTTCATACTGAACCCAGTCTGAGTCCCACAACATTACTCCTCATCTCTCCACATAGTTCCTACCACAGTTTTTGGCCTGTATCTCTCCCACTAGGAAAGCAACAACTTTGAAGGAAAGGACCAACTCTTGTACTCTATTTTATTTTCATCACTTTTAGTGTCCCACATCATGTTGCACATGGATGGTACCGCAAATATGCTCATGGCATAAGCATAGAAGAACTCTGTATGGGTTTGATTTTTATGAATCCTTTAATGTGAGCTTTTCAAGAGTTAGTCAGGTCTCTTTTAAATTTCCCTTGAGGGGATTCCCTGAGCTGCTCAGGGCCACCTGTTGAGATATACCTACACACATTACACATTGCATAATTCATTGCTTGCATCAATCCTGTGCAGGAGGTACTATTTTGTCTCCATTTTACTGAAGAAACTAAGACACCAGTTTAAGCAACTTGCCAAAAACCTATGGAGCTGTGATTGAGAACTGGGATCTCTGACTCCAGAAATATGCCCATAGCCACTACATATACACACACATGCACACACACACATGCACACACATAATTCTCTGGTTACATCAACAGTATTATGACCTTCAACGCCTACTGTACACATCTTAACCTAAGACTTGATTTGGAATGTTAGAGCTGGAAGGACTTTTCTAGAAAGGAGAAAAGAAAACCTCTAAAGGACAAACTCTATCCTTTCCTTTTCTTTCATTAAAAGTCTCACCGTGTAAACTCCATTATCACTCAGCACCTCTTCAGCCCACAGAACAAACTGTGACTTCACATTAAAAAGTGTATATATTCTGATTAGAGACACCTAAATGAATACTCCCCTCAAAAGGGGAGATTCCTGATCCCTAGGTTAGACATTTTTGAATAAGAATTTAGAAGAAGCATATTGAGGAATCTACCAGTAATTTAACCAGGATCTTTCTAATATTTAGAACAACTAGACTTTAAAGAAGTACGTTTCTTTTTGGAATGATTCCAAAGTTTGCATCTGTCCAACTTTCCAACTTATAAACTGAGCCCTTATAAACTGAGCTTGAGATCATTGGCATCTGGCTGAAAGTGAGGTTGACATTTGGTGAGGGAGACTCTGGTGGTATAAGACTAGAAAGAGGTACAGGAAACATTTATCCTTGTGATCTACTGAAACCATGGTCATAGGTTACTTTCTTGGCATAGGAGACCCTCAGACCACCAGGTGCTTACACTAGTGGTTAAGGTCAACAGTCCAGTGGCATGGAACAAAGTTATGCCAACCAGTAAATGCAGGTGCCCATCCCTGAGGATCTGTGAATGTAACTTGTTTGGAACCAATTCAAGGGCACTACTCAGTTGCTCTCAAATTCATATATTTCTCAGAGTAAAAGAATAGTGCCCAGGAAGTCTGAGGCAAGCCAGAGACTAGATTCTACAGACATATATCTTCTGTGATGTTCTCAGCTAATAAGGTCCTAAGCTGCTTTTAGCACGTTGTCAGACTCACAGGTTCTGTACTGCAGGCGGAATGGACAACTACATTTGCCAAAGCTCTAACATCCATTTTAAAAGCTGTGACCTGACCCAGTTTTAATGATTCCATAACTAAAAGCTGTTGGCACATATTGGTTGAATTCTTTTTTCTTTTGGCTCATCTGATGGTCTGTGAAGGGGAACATTTTCTCCAAGGGTAATTTGCTTCAAAAATTGTCTTAATGTGTAAAATAAGAAATTTTACACAGAAAGAAAAAGAAAGCCACTAAAATAACTGGATTTCATCTGACCTTTGTCAAAATTTTACCAGTTAAAAAGATGCATTTGTCCCAGAAAAACAAAAAGAAAAAGAAATCAATTCCTAGTCTCATTTTTCTTCGCTATGACCTAGATCAAGTGGGAACTGAACCCAGGGTAACCTTCCAAATCACCACAGGGCGTTATCAGGGTTTTTTGTTTGTTTGTTTGTTTTGTTTTTTTTACATTTTGCACTAATGATTTATACACACTCATCTTCTGCCATAGGATACCAACTTGAAAGAGGTAACAAAGAGAACATAAATCTCTAGTACCAAGGTCTTCTAGGGAATCCCAAGGTCAGCTTGGATTTAGTCACAAATGTATTCAATCTGATGCCTCACCTGGATGAGAAGAAGATGGAAAGGTGTACCCCAGATCAATAGAAGACATATGTAGAGTCCATAGACAAAGGGTCAGGAAAATTGGCTGACAATCCCTTAAGAGCTATGTCTATGTCCAAGTGTCCTATCTTTTTATGATATTCCTATGGATCTGTTGTGAATACAAGATATGGGGATACCTTGCCCTCTCCTTTCCTCTCCAACTCCCCTCCTAAGGTCTTTTTATATTTTCCATTATTACTGTGCCCTGAATGAGGTTGTGACACAATAATAAGAAACAATGTGAAGACTATTTAAGGATAAAAAGACTATTTAAGGATATCTCCTGGGTACACCAAAATATTCCACGGTCCTGATTGGGAAATGGGGCTCCAAGATGCCAACATCATTAGCTAAAATGCTGAGAATTTCAAAATGGATATTTAATATCATATAAAAAATGAGACTTGAATTGATTCATATTTTTACTGAATTTATGTGAGATATTTTTATTAGTCCTTTCATTTAGTTTCTGCCTTCTGAAATTAGTACATCTGCCTACTGCCAAAACAGTCTCTATTTTTGTAAATAACAAAGATAAACATTACAGTTTATACAAATTTCATTTGTAAGATATTTGTGGGCCTTTGATTATCAGCTAAGCAACTGTTTACATTTCTGAAGTTATTTCAAATATCATACAACAATATGCATGTGAACTCAAGTAACTTCTAACACAATCAGGGATTTCCTTTGTCTGGATCTGAGATACAGGGTTTTTTTAAAGATAAAAGCAGCTTCTTAAAAATATTACAGGTGGTTCATGCTTGTAAACCCAGCAGCTTGGGAGGCTGAGGCAGGAAGATCACAAGTTCAAAGCCAGCCTCAGCAAAAGCAAGGCACTAAGCAACTCAATGAGACCCTGTCTCTAAATAAAATATGAAATAGGGTTGGGGATATGCCTCAGTTGCTGAGTGCTCCTGAGTTCAATTTGCAGTACAAATATATATATATATATATATATATATATATATATATATATAATAGTTGATAGTTCTATGTCATCAGACTCATAATAAATCATGTTATATGAAAGACTAGAATTAAAAGGAGATGATTATCATACTGAAGCACATTTAAAGAACATTATCAGGGCATCTGATTTACAAATGCTATGTTGAACATAGTCATAATTAGGAAAATTTTACCTAGATAAGCCCCCGTAATTGATTTTCTGTTATACTAATACTCTAGCTCCTGGGTGACATTTCACTCTAGGACTCCTGAATGAGGCAGAGTGTGAACATCAATTAATCAGTCACAGATTATAACTGAATATCTTCTCTAGAGAAGGAGCTGAGATTCAGAAAATATTTCCCTCTTAGCTCTTGTCTTATCACCGTGCCCGGATAGGGGCTAAGGTTTGGTGCTTAAATGAGGATGACAACAGTGACCAGGAAGAGACCCAAGTAAGTTTATTAATAGGGATTCAGTAAGGACTCAATATATAGCCCTTAATTTAGCCCTCAAAGATCTAAGTGATCTTTGGATGGGATGCCCTGAGATCTGAGAAAATGTGACCAAAGCTTGCTCCCAAATAGGGCAAATTTTGGACTATTTCAGACTCATGTGGAATGAAGAATTAACACTAGGCCATAAGAAAAACTTGAATAAATTTTAAAATAATAGCATAGTCTATGTTCTGTAAATATGCCATAGTAAAGTTAGAATTTTTGAAAGCAGGAAAAAATAAAGTCCTACTTGTATGGAAAGAAAATAATACCTAAGTTGAAAATTAAATCAAAAGAGAATTTTTAAATGTGCATAATTATCAATGAAAGTGTTCAATGTCAAATTTTGTGGGAACACAGTTAAAGCAGTACCTAGCAGGAAATATATAGATTTTTAAAAAGTTAATCAAGATAGAAGAAAGGTTGAAAACTATCTAAGCATAAATCCCAATTAAACAGCAAAAGAGCATACCTCAAATATATCTTTTGAAATTGTATATTCTATTCAGTCATATTATTTTTTCCCAGATCTGAAGGACATAAAAATCATATCCATGCAGACAAGAGTATCTATTCAATCAGATGTAACATGATGACACATCAGTGTATTCCATTCCTTTCTATTAGCCCCTCTAAGACTGTTAAATAGGAAAAAAATTGAGGTCAGTATTAAATAGATTTGGTCAAGCAGCATCTCACATTTATATATAAGAAAAAACACTGTCTGGGCTCAGTTAGTAGTCTGTCTAAGATGGAAGATTCTCTGGTTAAATTCTGGTTTGATGAAATCAATGTTTTAAAGAAAGACCTACACCCACCTAGAGCTGCCAGTTTAACACATCTTGTGCACATTTTGTTTTCAGCTAGGACGAACCCTGAGGAGCCCTTTCATGAAGTTTGTAGCCCATGCAGTTTCTTTTACAATCTTCTTGGGACTGTTAGTGGTAAATGCGTCCGACCGATTTGAAGGTGTTAAAACCCTGCCCAATGAAACCTTCACAGACTACCCAAAACAGATCTTCAGAGTGAAAACTACACAGTTCTCCTGGACAGAAATGCTCATCATGAAATGGGTCTTAGGTAAGCAAGTTGCTCTTTCTTTTGTTCTCCCCCCCCCTTCAATTATAATAGGCCATTATTAAACTCTGATTTCTGAACTCAACCTCCCCTCATGAATATACTCTTGGCAGACAAAATAGCAAGTGGATGACCAACAAGAAAGTCAAAGTCAGCTTTTATGTGAGCTAGTGTTTAAAATGCACAGGCTCGTAAAATAACTCCCAATTTTGAAAGGAAATGTTTGGGGAAAAATTTGTTAAGTATTTTTCATTAAAAATATATTTAAAATGATTGTAAAGTGGTTTGCGTGGGAAACCTTATTTTGATCATTTAAAAATGTCTCCTGAAAGCCTTAGGAAATCAAGTTCTGCTTCTAAAAAAAGGATATAAAATTGTATAGTTTAAAAGATATTTTTGTTATTTCAGATACCTAAAATCTTGATAATAAATATAAATCTACAATTTAGAGGGTAACATTTTCTCATTATTTGTGTAAGAGTTTTATTTTGGTTCACACCTTTGGAGGCTAGGAAGTCCAAGATAAGGCAGCTGCATCTGCTTGACAGCCTGTACTGTGTCAACTTGTGGTGGAAAGTGGAAGGGCAAGTGGGCATGCACGAAGGAGAGAAAACACTAGGAGCAACGTCACTTTTATAAAACTTCACTCTCACAGTACCTAATCCAGTCCCACAGAGCAAGAATCCACTCGTGTGAGAAAGCATCAGTTCATTCATGAGGACCCCATAACCCAAACACCTAACATGGGGCCCCATCTCCCAACACACTGGGGATCATGTGAGTTTTGAACCATACTCAATCATAGCAATTGTCTTCCATTAAAGAGTGGGGCTGCAGTGTAGATCAGTGGAGGAGCACTGCCAGGCATGTGTGAGGCCCTGGGTTCAATCCTTAGTACACTACAAGGGGAAAAGATTAAAGAGTGTTTTACTTTATTCTGAAAGGATATTTGCACATCATTTTCATTCCTTTCCATTCCTTCTTAGAGTGGATCTGGAGAAGCTAAGGATTGTTTACCTTTGTATTATGGAAATTCACTTCTGAGGTCTCTACTGAAAGTCCTGGTGGTCAGTAAAGACTCTCAGCTCTTATAGTCAGAGCTCTAGAAATTGTCCAACTTATAGCTCTCTGACTGTTGTCTGTGGAATCCACTTTTTGTTTTTATGACTTAATATTCAAGAACATTCAAATTCTTTAAATTTCTGGAATCTTTTGTTTGTTTCCTTCAGGGGGTTGTGTTGATTGGCTTGCTTGCTTGCTTGTGTTTGCACAGTACCCTTCTCTCTGGAGCTCTGCCTGAGCTCTAATCTCAGCCTCTTCACTCAGTGAGACTGCCTGCTGTGTTTCTGGGCCCCCTCCTATGCATGGCAGACTGGAATGTGCTTTCAGAAAGAGAGCTAGTGTCCTCATATGACTTACCTCATGGTTCCCATTATTTAGGAATCGCAGACTTATGCTGTCTCCAATGTCTGAAAAAAATTCTTTCTTTTTTTCTTCTGTTATTCCAGAGTGGCTGGTAACAGAAATCAGGATGCTTTTTTTAAAGCATAACCAGAAAAACATTATCAAACTTAAAAGAAAATTAATAATTTCTTAATGTCTTCATACATCCAAATAGTAACAAATGCCTCTGATTGAGAGAGGTATGTTGAATAAGTAACAGCATGACCTGCTTCCTCTTTTCCTTCAGATCTCTGTTCATATTTTACCCTCTCAGAGTAATTGAGCAGATAGGAGCAGGTACACTTATCCCCCTTCTCTAATAAGGTGAAAAGCATTCTAGGCAGAAGGAACAGTATATGTTAAAGCCTAGAATCCAAAACAAGCTGGACATGTTCAAAGAACATCAAGCAGACTAATGTAGCTAGAGTACATAAATACAGAGGAGAAAAGTAGAGATGAAGGCAGGAGAAGAGCTTTGCAGAATTCTGGGCACAGAAATAACATCATGTGAATTCAGTAAAGAGTCAGTGACTGCTGTGTTAAGAACAGATGATTGTGGGACAAATAGCAGAAGCAACAGACCAGTTAGGAAGCCACTGCAATTATCCAAGTGGTAAATCGTTAATGTAAGGGGGCAGGAGATGGTGATTATATTTTGAAGATAAAATCCAATAATATTTACTATTGTATTATATGTGGGATGTGAAATAAAGAGAGCAAAGACAATTCCAAATATTTTAGCTCAAGCAATGGGATAGTACAAAGCCATTTACTAAGATAGGACCAGACAAAAATCAGTTTGGACAGGGAAGAGAAATGGAAATCAAGACTTCAGCTTGAGATCTATGTATTAGACATTTAAGAGTAAACATCAAATAACAAATGGATATATATGTATGAAGTTCAGAAGAGAAATGAGTCTGGAAACAAAAAATTGGACATATCGGTATATTTACATAAATTATATGAGATCACCTTCACTTTGAATATAGACAGATGACTGAGGATCAAGCCAATGGTTTAGGTATGGAAAGATGAGAAGTATCCAGAAAAAGAGATGAGGTAAAAGGATAACCAAGAGAGTGGTGACCCGAAAGTAACTATGTCAAGAACCAGGGAGTGATCCTTTATGTCAGATATTGCTGATGGCTCAAATAACATGAGATCTGAAGATGGACCATCAGCTTTGGAAGCAAAGTTCCTGAACAGGTGGAGCAATGAGATCCAGTGTCCGATTAGAGTACTTGGCCTTAACAGGAACATGGACCCTTCGTTTATTGTAACAGGAGGGAGGGTGAAGGCATAGTGCAGATGGTGTGTTGTGTAGGGATGCAGTGGTGGGAACATATAGATGTTCTTTTCTGATATTTTCTATTTTATCCATTTTTTCTCAATAAATATGTTTTAGTTATTAAGCATTTGCATTAAGCATTTAGTTATTAAGCATTATGTCAAGTTCTAAGGAAGCAACTATAAATAGGACTAGTATTATCTTGTTCTAAATATCTTCTGGAGCTCTTTAATTATGACAAAAATAATCATGATGAACTTTAAGAGATAACCTTTGTGTTCATACAGAAGGCTCTTTTTGCTGGTCCATTGTGGGATCTAACATCTAATCCACTCTCTGCTCAAAAGTAGCAGAGCATAAAGTTGTACCAGGCCCCTGCTGATGGCATCTTAGAATTCTGTTTCCAGACACTGTCAGGAAGGCCTTGAATCAGTTAGAAAGACAACTCCACAGACCTCTCTCCCCATGACATATCACACTCATAACTGTAGTACTTCGTACAAACTGGTTATGAAAAGACCCGAGTCATTGTTCCCTCTTTGCCAGAATCAGCTCTAGAGTTGAAGAGAAGCTTGGGACCCAATAAGTCCAAACTGCTCCATGCAGGGATGGAGGTTTTAACCATAGGAAGGTGAATGACCTTATCCAAGTCTCCCAGTTTCTGCCCTTCCCACTCCCATGCCTCAATCTGTTCTCTGCACTAGAACTAAAGTGATCCATTTAAAAGGTACTCATATCTTGTCACTCTACCTCAAAAACTCTTCAGTAGTTTCCCATCTGCCTCGGTGTGACAACTAGTGTTATCACACGGCCTATAATGCCCTCAGCTCTCTGCCCCATCTCTATGGTTCCTCCCACCACATTTCCTCTCACTCACCGTGTCTTAGGCCCACTGGTCTCCTTGCCTCACTGCTTCTGCTTCAGAAGTCCTGCCGAGGCTTGACCCCTGTGCCTGGCGAGTTCCTCCTTCAAGGAGCTGTGTGGGTCACTCCTTACTTCCTCAGGTCTTTGCTCAAAAGTCCCCCTTCTGAAAATAAGAACTTTTTTGAATTAACCTGTTTAAAATTGCAAGTCTCCATACCCTACTTCCTCCTCTTCTGTTTTTCCTCCCTTCTCTGATTTTCTTCGTAATAGTTACCACCTCTGACAAGACTATAAGAATGCTCTTTGTTTCTTGTCTAAATTAAAATTATTTCTGCAGTCATACAGATTTGCAGCTGCTCTTGTCATCTTCTATTTAATTGTAATCCTCTCTCCATATGGACATTTAATTTTCTCAATGACCTCTTTCAGTGGCCACATAAGAGTACTCAACCATATCCCCAACCTCCTCCTATTGAGCATATAGATTATCCCTCTTCTGCTGTATCATTTCACAGGAGAGTTAAACCCAATTAGAAATATGTTCTCCTTCACTCCAAATGCTTTTCCTGGTTATCAGCAGAATTTTAGAAACTTCTGTCAACCCAAGATATTTAAAGCATGGGATGGAGAGGTTAAGGCCACACAGAGACTTAGAATATATAGCCAGCAGGGTAGAAGAAAATCCAGGAGGACACAACATCAAGGATGTCAAGTAAGAAGCATGACTGAGGAAGAAAGGACAAATTTACTGGTAGGCACATATATTCTGTAGAACTATCAGATGAGTGACTTTGCAGAGTATGAAGTGAACCAGAGACTATCACTCCTTCCAGCCTGAAGAGTCCCCAACATCAGTGGCCTATGTTTATTACCTGATTACACATAGTGACTCCAGATTAGTTGACGAGCTTATAATAAGCTTCTCAACTGGAGCATGTATCTCCAGAGACGCTCATCAGGGGAGTATATAAAATGTTAGTAGTTCCCAGAAAGCCATTACAGGCTTGGAGGTCAGGAAACTTCTCCTAATGCATGTAATTCCTCCATCCAGGAATAGAATTATTTCACTCTGCCCCAATCTCCTAGAAAAACTGTCAGTGTCTTCTTAAACAGATGCTACAGTACTGAACACTTAATTGGAATGAAATGCAAATGTCCAGTTCTAGCAAAACAAAAAAGTGTTAGGGGAATGAGCTTGGGACCAGGTGTCAAGAAACCCAGTCCTGACTGTGCCCCCCTCTCTTTAGTGGCCTTGCCTCTCTGGATTTCAGTTTCCACATCTGTAAAATATGAAAGTCTAGCTATTGCCTCACCCCAACCCACTGAGGGCAGTGCTACATCTTAGCTCCAAAATCACACTCTTAGGCTTGACCAAGAGTAAAACTATAAAGTCATGTGCACTGAGTTATTTTAACAGTCTCCACTTACATCTAGGTAAGTTTTCCTAACAAAATATCCCAATCAATTTTCCAAAGTTCATTCCTGAAAGCCAGACCATGTGGCTGCCCTGCGTATCACATTTAGGGGCTTCCCAGGCACCCAGAATGAACCCCAGCCTCTTTAGCACTGCCTAAAAGAGAGCTTTTCAGTGGCCTCACCTGCAGCTACTGCCTGACCCTTGAATCTTATGGAGCACCTCAGTTCCCTGGAAAGACCTACTCCCCCTTATGTCTATGGCCACCATCTGGAACATTTTGCCAGCCCTTGCCCCTTCACCTAGTCAACCACTTGTCCCTCGCCCTAAGTGTCACCCCCTTCATGAACTCACGCCTCCACTGAGTCAATGGATATATGGTATGCCAAGGTCATATGACAGTAATGTTGACTTTCCTGAACATTTTTCATTACAACATCTGTCACCCTATAGCACTGTGACCTGTGGACACATCTGTCTCCAGCACTAGACTTAAATTACTAGGAAAATGTTACCAAAATCTCAGTCCTTGTCCCCAATGCAAATCCAATGACAAGGACACAGATTTGAGGAAAAATAAGTTTTATTTCTTACCTAGCAAAGGAGAAACACAGTGGACTCCTGTCCTAGAGACTGCAATTCTGCCGATCAGCAGGAACAGGGCCTTTTAAAGAGGTGATTAAAAGGCTACATTACATGTATCCTCTGTTGGAGTAGTAATTCACTTGTTAATTTGGGAGACAGTCATTTCTGAGATTTCTGGTGCAATCCCCAAAGTCTAGATTACTTTGCTCCTATGGTAGATGTGTACTCAAGGACAGATAAATGCCTAAAATGGGGAAGAAAAGTAAATCAGTTTCCCAGAAACTAAGATTAGGCATGGGGAGAGATTAGAGAGGAGCAGGGAGAGAGGAAAAGAACAAAACATGTCCAGTCTAAAAATGAGTTGCCATGGCAGAATGGCAAGGACTATACTCAAAGAATTAAAGTCAACCACTGTTACAAAAGACTACCATTATGTTGATTGTTGTATCCCCAGAATGGCGCCTGGCACAGAAGTGAAAGTCAACATCTGGTTCATGGATAAGTGAGTTCCTGACCCATCGTTGTAAGCTTGTACTTAGTGAAAGGCATAGTGGAGTCAGCACAGTGGGCAACAAGAAGCCTGGACTGCCTGTGTGACTTTGCACAACTTGCTTGCCACCTTTATGTATGAGTTTCCTCACCTGTAGAGTGGAGATAATCATAGTACTATCTATTAAACTAGTATGAAGATGCAGTGTTTATAAAGTGCTTAGCACAGGACCTGGTACCTAGAAGGAACTCAGTAACTGATGGCTACTATAATTAGAAAAGAAGACAAAAAAGAGAAGGAATTTTCTTAGGACATTTTTAAACCCTGAAAGTTTCTGAGATCAGAGTTTTTCAAAGGACTGGTTATTGAGATAGTGTTTGTATATTAGGGCCTGTGGATACAGAACTCCCAGGCATATCTGCCCTCCTGTGAGTTCACAGAACATCCGTATCCTGGACCAATGATAAGAAATTGGCCTGAGGGAACAGAAAAGCAAATGTGGGGCCCTGAGATGCAGAAGAGGAACCCCTGGGAGCAATGACCATTTAAAGACTGGGCATATTTAAGCCTCACAGGACTTCGAAGGGGGAGCCCTTCTGAATGCCATCTGAGCCTGGATGGAAGTGAATGCTTTTTTAGATGTCAAACTCCATCTCCACAGCCTGCAGGCCATTACTCAGAAGCTATCTACATCAAGCTACTCATTTCCCCTGAGACTTCCTGGCAAGTCCCAGCCTATTCCTTGGCCAGGCCCCCTTCTTAATTATCTCTGACCTTGTTCTCTGAGCTCTAGGCATCCCTAAGTGATGAGAATTTGGCCTGAAGGAGGCTCAAGAGCCCAGTATCCACAGCCCTTGAACCCTTGGGCTCTGGATACTTTGATTGGCATGCTGGAGGCAAAAAAAACCCTGAGGCTCAGCTCCTGTATCAAATCCTAAACTACCCTTGGCAACTTGGAAGTAGGGGGCCTCATTTCACTCACTAAAGTAGTTAATTTCACACATTTCTTTTTTCATTAAGCGTTTGTGCTGCTCAAACACTTGGGCCTGTTACTTTTACTTATGGCCTTGGAATAATTTAAATTAGTCTGGGTAAGTTAATATATAAATCTAGGAAAACTGACGCAGACATTTGACCATGGAGAAAGTGATTTGCAATGCCCAATGAGGTGTTACTCTACCCATCAGGAAAGTCAGTTTTCTGTACATAATTTGCATTTCAGTTTCAAAGAGCTTTTAAGTGTTTGAAGTTACTCCAAAATCTCAATTCATTCATTTTACAAATATAAAATCTGAGGTCCCATAGCAAATCAAGGGACTTATCAAAAGTCACACTGTCATTAAATGTTGAAGCTATAACCTGAACCCAGGATTTCCTAAATTAAAGCCAATCACTGTAAGTGATAGTCTGTGATTCTCCTAAGGCCCAGCTAAAAGCAATTTCACTAAAACATTAGGAATTTTAATTTGGAGGTAGAGGAAAGCAATAAACATTTTCCAGCCTGTAATGGTTTTTCTAATAACATTTTTAAAATACCTATTTGAACAGGCAAAATGAAAGTATATTTCAGTGTTTTAAGAAAAATATGACTTCATTGAATTATCATGCAAATTTTGAGAGGGTATGCTTTAGAAGTAGCTTTGTTAAAGCAGGGTGGAGGGATGGAGACGGATGGAGGCAGGGGTTGGGGGAAGTCTTGTAAACAGACCTGCAGTGTTTTGGGATATTTCCTATTGTGGGAACTCCAATTTGATCTTTAGCACACAAAGCCATGACTCTTCTCTAAACAGCTGCTCTCAAATTATTTTTTGCTTAGAAAAACATTTCAATTCTTTTTATTTTATGGGCCATTTCCACCATAAAAAGGAAAAATTCTGACAAAAACAGTTCCTGGACAGAATCCCAGAAGAGTATAGGCAATCAGCTCATCACTCGCACACACCCAGACTTGGGCCTATGACCAAGTCAGTCATACTCTGGCCAGGGTAGAGCCACCATCATCCTCTGTTTGCTCAAGCATCATCTTTGACTCCAGGCTTTTCAGCAGCTGAATTCTCAAAGCCCACTGTATTATGATGTGGGTATCTGTCAGTGTGCTTGCATTTGAGGTGTAGGGAAAAGGAAGAAAAGTACTTAAGCAAATGACTGGGGGTGGAACTCTTGAGGACTGATGGGTAGACCTGGTCTGCTGGAGTGCAGAACGTATGGAGATAGAGGAAGATCGAAAGGTTCAACAGTCTAGTTTTGGAATTTGGATGTTAAATAAGGACTACATTGCAGGTGTTTGAAAAGGAAAGTTAACCATGATGTGACCTGTACTTCATGAGGTAAGAGAATGGAGTTGAAAATTAAAAGGGTAGGCAGGATCTGAGAGTCTACCAGAGGAGGATGTGCAGAACTGCTGTGATCACTGATGACAGCCAGAGGAGTCAGAGATGCAGTAGAGAGTACTGGGCAATGAAGGGACAAAGTAAGGATGGGAAGGATAGGGAGGCCAGCTTGAGATAGTTGGTATTTCTGCCACTGGTAGTCACTAACAGCAGTCTCCACAGGGTCGGAATTCAGCTTTGAGGCTCTTAAGAAGTAGAAAGATAGTCACCTGAGACACATTTGCAAAGCAGCTACAATATTAGTGCAGATCTAAAAGAATACCCACCAAAGTATTAGCCCAGGCCACCTCACAAGGCTGAACTGGAAGAGGGATGGGGGAACTATTAACATAGTTTATGCCTTTAAAATCCAATAAATTATTTTTCAAAAACTAATAACTGAAAACTAAAAACTAATTTTTTTTTTTTTAGAGAGAGAGAGAATTTTTTTTTTTTTTGTAGATGGACACAACACAATGCCTTTATTTTTATGTGGTGCTGAGAATCGAACCCGGGCCCCGCTTGTGCTAGGCCAGCGCTCTACCGCTGAGCCACAATCCCAGCCCCTAATTGTTTTTCTTTTAATAACTAATAACTGCTAGGTGGGGGGTGGCTCATGTCTGAAATCTCAGAAACTTGACAGGCTGGGGCAGGAGGATGGCAAGTTCAAAGTCATCCTCAGCAATTTATTAAGGCCCTAAGCAACTTAAAGAGACTGTCTCAAAATAAAAAATAAAGGGCTGAGGATGTGGCTCAGTGGTTAAGCATCCCTTGGTTCAATTCCTGGTACAAAAAAAAAAAAAACCTAATAACCACATACTAAAGCTCATTGAAACAGTTACAGAAATATAGAGGAAAGCATTTTAGTCTGTAAATTAGAAAAACTGGGTTTCAGGTCATATATGGTACCTTAAGAAATTCCTAGATTCAGTTTCCCTACATTTAATCAATGACTGAATGATCCCTTAAGACGTCTACCATGTGTAAATGCCAGCAACCATATTTCCCCTATTATGCCTCCAACAAACTATCAATAGTTAAGAACTCTTTTCTCTCTTCCAAAAAAGAGGATTGTCTGTAAGGACAGGGACCAGTGAGGTGTTCTCCCAATCCGAGGATCTCGTGATTCGAAGCCTTTCTTTGAAGGCACATTTCCGTTTGCTTCTGGCCATCAACATTCCTATCGCGAAAGAGTTGACATTTTCTTTCGTATCCCAGTTCCCTACGTGCCCTCTTGCGGACACACAAATGCTAAAGGATCTGAAAACCGGTCCTGGCCTTCTCACCCTCCTGCAGGAATGATCTGGTCGGAATGTAAAGAAATCTGGGAGGAGGGGCCGCGGGAGTACGTGCTGCACCTGTGGAACCTCCTGGATTTCGGGATGCTGTCCATCTTCGTGGCCTCCTTCACCGCACGGTTCATGGCCTTCCTGAAGGCCAGCGAGGCCCAGCTGTACGTGGACCAGTACGTGCAGGACGACACGCTGCACAACGTCTCACTTCCGCCAGAAGTGGCCTACTTCACCTACGGTGAGTCTGGTTCAGCCCGGGTGCATCTGAGCCCCCGCCCTGGCTCTTGACTAGGACGGTGTCACAGCCTGTGATTTACATTTTGGCCGATTTGGGTCATGTCGACTGACTGCCAGGTCAGAGCAGTCTACCAGAGGAGGATGTGCAGAACTGCTGTGATCACTGATGACAGCCAGAGGAGTCAGAGATACATCTTTCTGTATTAGGAAGAATGAGTTTGTTTTGGAAAGGTTGTTGGGGGCATTCCTGTAGGCTTTTGGTTTGGGTTTTTTAAAAAAAAAAAAACTAACTGTTTTTTTCTGATGTGAATCCAGTCCTAAAAGGAATGTATATACCAAAAAAAAAATTTCCTTCCATATTGCATCCCTGCTTTGTACAAAGATAAGGCCTTCTTTGCTAGTTCAAAAGTTCTTTCCTCATGGATATAAGTCCTCTAAGTACCCTTTGAACCACAAAGCCATGTGGTTTGAAGCAGTAAATTGATATTTTAAGAATAATAATGATAATAGTTATTGCATCCATTTATTGAGGACTTACTATGGCCAGGAATTGTGTAGACATCTGACACACATAAACTCCAGTCCTTGTAATAGTACTACAAAATTGATCTGTTTTGTTTGTTCCTATTTTATAGCTAAAAAAGAAAGTTGTTTTCATGGCAGGGATAATAGTATAATCAGAAATACAGGATTGCTTTGTATAGCAGGGAATCTTAGCCTGAGATGAATTGAAAGTCAAGGTGAATAGCCTGGTACTTATGTCCCAGACTTTAATATTAGACCAGAATTCAAATTCTAGTTCTGTAGCTTCCTATAACATGTGTTTAATTAACTATTCTGAGCTTCCATTTTCTCATATGTAAAACAGAAATAATAAAACCTATGTCAAAATGTTTGTTTTGAAGATTAAATAGTACCTGTGAAGAATTTAGCACTATGGCCTGAAAATACTAAATTTTCACTAAATGGTAATAGTTTTATCAGTACTTTCTCTTGGGTCATTTTCTTGTTCAAACACAGTACTTTCTATGGTGAAAAAGAAAGATGAGAAAGTGAAGGAACAACAGCTATTTATTTTCACCAGTAAAAAGTAGCTGAATGCTTAATAAGTCTTCCTTAATGGCAGCTGCTACACTTTGAAGGGTTTAAGTGTCGAATGTCTCTGTTACATGAAGCCATATGGCTGTTGCCTCTCCAAAATCTTCATGATCAGTACAGCAATGATCTGTAGAGGATTGTCACTTCAAAAGTTGATTTGCTCTTTACTATCAACATAAATTGTATTATGTGCAAATTTGGTAGGAAAACCCCCCATTGAGAAATGAAGAGTCTTGTAGTATTACAAATCATCTACTCTCTCCTTGGCTACCCACCCAGCTGACACACACATACCACCATTTGTTAATTTGGCAAATTCTGACTTTCTTAAAACACATAAGCTTGTATATTTTCCCCTCCATGTGGCTCAAGGTTCACCAAGGAAAGATGAGAGATATGTTTCTTAATGCCACGATTCAGGCTGCAGTATTGTTCATTTGTGACTTCTATTTCTTTATGAATTGTATTAAGTCTCACCCAACCCAAAGCATAGCACATTATTGTCCTTGCTTTTGTGGTTCACCCCGTGCCCTTGGAAATCATCTGCGTTTCTCAGTGTTCACTTGTGCTCCAGTTATGGGAGAACAGAGCCCCCTTGTGGCCAAACAATCAATGGTTCTCTCCAACCTCTTCAGCCCCATATAGACAGACCCCAAATTTTCAGGTTGTGATAAAACCATTTTCCTCATGGAAATGGCTCCTAGATGAAAATCCCTAGGTCTGAATCATCATAGTGCTGCTTGTTTTACACCCATTATAACTCTTACAGGTCATTCCAAGCAGGATATTTTTCACTAAAAGTTCTGACCTGGTCACTAGGATCTGACAACAGCTAAATCTATCTTAATAGATTATTGGTGTAGCTTTTATGGTTATAGCTGAGGTTGAAAATGTTAAATTATAGGTGGCAGGAAAAATCCTTTTTAGTGTCTGTTTAATAGAAGAAGTCACATCCTATTTCATGTTATTCAAATGTGTTACTTATCCATGGAGAGTGACAGATATATTGGAAAACACATAATTTGTTCTCCTTAGTTGTCTTTCATGAACTTTTGAGTTATGACCTTGATGAGAACATAAAATCTACAATGTTGTTATATTTCCAAATGTAATTTAGAATGTGCTACATGAAACTGTGTGGCCCTGCTTCCCTTACTTAAGGTTTCTTACTTGCTCTCTATTATTATAATTATTTAACAGAGTCTAGCTTTGAAAATGAAGAATAAAATTCTTCCTCTTCCATCTCCCTTGGGGTGCCAAGAATTGCTATGCAATATCCTTGCTAACTACACTTACTAGGCTCTGAAAAGGACCCCATACCCCAAATCCAATCTTAAAAATGGCAATAATAATATCTACTCTACAGGGCTGTAGTGAAAATTATAGCTAATGTAAGTGTAAGGGCTAATTTAGGTTTCTCAATGTTTCTCAATTTAAGTTTCACTTAGCATTTCTCAACAGGAACACTACTGGCTTCTTCAGCAGGGGAATTTCCATGGTGCGGGACTATCTGGGGCATTGCAGTCTGTTAAGCATCCCAGAAATACTCCTACCTAGTCATTGTGATGACCACAGACAGCCCCACACACTTCTCTTGGGAGAGAGGTACTGCCCTCACTTGAGGATGACTGTATGTCCTGACACATAGTAGGCAGCTGATTTGTGATAGACACTGCTCCTCGTGGCATTAGAACTGCAGTAGGAGCACTTTTCAGGTTTGTTCTGCTGCAAGAATGCCCAGAAAGCAGTTGAACCCTGGTGGTCACCAGTGATGCAAACGGAGTCTCTGCAGCTCAGGATTGGTCCCAGCCTCTTACCCAGCCAGAACAGATAGCTGTTATGGCTAATATGCTGACTGGTCACCACTTTGGGGGGGCCTTAGCTAAATCAGGAAGCAACATTCTCAGCACATACCACCTAGGGAACAAAACCCAAGAGTATTTTCTCAGGCATGATCTGATCATTCCTAGTTCTAACCCTGGTCCTTATATGAGCTCATTTGTTCCAACTTGTGGTTACTCTAAACTTGTGTTCATTTAGTCATTTAACAAGCATTCATCAACACCCAATATGTGCCATGTGCCATGCTGAGCACTGAATATCAGATTTCATTTCATCTTCCTCATAGTACTGAGTTGATAGGATCCTTAATGTACAGATGAGGGCAACGAGGCTCCAGAAAATTAGTTGACTGACTCCAAACCCCTGCTCATAGGTGCTCCTGTGTTACCTCCTCATGCTGCTTCCCCAGTGAGTGGGACAGCACCTGGGTGTCAAGTGTAAACACTGGTAAGGGGGATGGAATAGCAAGCAGTGTAGCAAATACCAGAACCAGAGTGTGTACAGATAACCATGGGAACAGATGGGGAATAGGGATCCTGTCTAGCCTGTGGGAGTCACAGAAGTCTTCCTGGAGGAGGTGACACCTGAGCAGATCTTTAAAGGATGATTGGGAATGAATCAGACCTTGAAGTGAGGAAAGTGTTCCAGGCAGCGGACCAGCACATTTCAAGAGGGTGGTACCTTGTGTTCTGTATTTGGATTAATCTAGGGCAGGGTAGGAATTGCAAGTCATGTGGTTGGAGACCCCTGAAGATGCCTAACTGGTTTCTCTTCCAGAGCAGATCCTATCCCCCAGTCAGTAACCCAGATTATTTTCTTTTAGCCAGGGACAAGTGGTGGCCTTCAGACCCTCAGATCATATCCGAAGGGCTGTATGCAATAGCGGTCGTGCTGAGCTTCTCTCGCATTGCGTACATCTTGCCAGCCAACGAGAGCTTTGGGCCCCTACAGATCTCCCTGGGGAGAACTGTGAAAGATATCTTCAAGTTCATGGTCATTTTCATCATGGTATTTGTGGCCTTCATGATTGGGATGTTCAACCTGTATTCTTACTACCGAGGTGCAAAGTACAACCCAGCGTTTACAACGTGAGTATCCCAGGGCTCTCCTCTGAGGCTCTCTCTGGCTTTCCTGGGAATTCTTGGGACTCTCTTGCAAGTAGTTTCTTACAGAAATTCAGGTTTCTTTGGTATTTCTCAAGATTTAAGATAACTTTATTCAAAGGTGGCTTAGAGTTCAGGTTCTGAAGTTGGAAGAACAAAAGAGCTGGGTTAAATCCTTACTTTGCCACTTATGCACTGTGTGGCATAAGCATCTTCCTTAACTCCTCTGAGCCTTCATTTCCTCATCTTTAAAGTGGACATAATAATTATACCTGCTTTGTAGGGATAGTGTGAGGATTTTGTGAGATGATATAACTCACACATATAGAATATGTCTTGGCACATTTGAAATAAATCACCAAGTTAGTCTTGGAGCAAGACATGGGACTTTATTCACTGGGGGGTAGAAAGGACAGCAAGCAAGTTGCCTTTGCAACCCTCAATCCCTTGCAGAAATTAGGGTACATGTTTATAGGAATATAGGAAGTGGGGTCAAAATGACCCAGTACAGGGTATAGTACATTGCCCAAGAAAATGGAAATTAAAAAGAGAGCATAATACATTGAATAAAAATAACATAAACATTTTTAAACCACCATGCCTTGTCACACAGGTTGTGCTTAATGGGAGGTGGCAGAGGCGGGTTTTCTCATAGAAGAAGCATTTTTTATATGAATTGGAGTCTCAGGGTAAATGGAGTTTGTCTGGTCAAGGCACGTATAGTTTAGCCCATAACATATAAATGGGAGGAATTAATATATTATTGTTATAATTATTATGATTAGCATCATCATCATCATTTTGCCTGTTTTGCCTAGAAAACAGAACCCTGGGCAAAAATTGCATACCAGCACTTTATTAAAGGAAATGAGTTGTAATCTGAGGAAAATAATACTGAAGGGGAAAGGAAAGTGAAATATGGGTGGAGGGTAAGCAAGGACAAGGTCAAGGTCTCACTGCATGGGCAATACATGAAGCAAGGTTTGGGGAAGGCAAATATAGGTTGCTGCCCTAAGCCATTATCTGCCAGAATACACAACCTGGGCATGATGGACCCTGCCAGGGAGACTACCGAGGGAACAAAACCCAAGAATATTTTTTCAGCCAAATCTTGCAGATTCCTGGTCCCTGTGAGAACTCATTTGTTTGTACTTGAGACTTCTCTAAACTTGGGGTTAGGAGTTCATTCAGTCATTTAACAAGTGTTTTCAGTACTTGCTGTGTACAGAGAAAGGAGCATCACATCAGGATGAGAAAGGGAACTTAATAGTCATATCTTTCCCATCTGTTGTCTCTCATGAGTCAGATTCATGAACTCATCTACACTTTAAGGGCAGCCGTAGTGAAGCCATGTCACACACCATGTCCCACCTGGCTGGGCATACCACTGCCCATGCATGGGCACTGAGCAAGTCCTACAGTATCATATGCCCCTACAGCCAGAGAGGAGGCCCAGGCCAGGTAGCCAGGAGGCATGTGGCCTGGGTGATAAGTAAGGCACTGATATCAGGATTTGGAGATTGCTTCTGAGGGGCTCCAGCCAGCCAAGCAGACAAAACAACACAATGGCACCCACACGCCATGGAGGTAGAGACAGAGCTCACTGACTCTGTGTCTACAAAAATTCAAAACTCCTCCTCTCTGTGGGGAATACCAGGCTGGTAGGGTATCTGGTGACATGGGCTTCTATCCCAACTCTTCTGCCCTGGCTCATCTGTGTAACCCTTCTTCCCTCTCCTTACACGGAACCTGTATGAACCCACAGGGCCATGAAAAATGCCATGACCTACAGTAGGACTGATCTGTCCATAATTTTCAACCAGATGTGACCCAGCTATCTGTAGAGAGAGTAAGAGATGGGGAAAGGGCAAGATCAGGAGAAAGGGGCAAATCAATTGACTCTTGTGCTCAGGGTCTGAGCAGGGTCTACTGAAAGGATGTGGCAGGGCTAGATGTATACTCTGAAAAAGGCATTTACTGGCTGATGACTTTTAGCCAAGTCACTTGATTTATCTAAGCCCTTATGTACTCATCTGTAAAATGAAGATAGGACTTTCCACCTTCTTTGTAAATACCTACATGGATAGATGTGGCAGTTTATGTAAAGTGGCTGAACACAGAGAGTTTCCAGCCTGAGTCCTTCTCCAGATCCACGCAGTTCCAGAACTTCTCCTTGCCTTCATCAACCTCCTACCAGAATCTTAAAAGGAGACTTTCTGACACTTACCCCTAAGAAACCCTAAGTGGTCTGGTGTTTAAGTTTTCCAGTAATTGAAGACGGCCCCTAAGCCTTAACCATGCAGGCACCCTGAGCAATTCCCACCTTACATCAGGGCCTCAGCTTACCCTGCTTCTGGAGAAATCAACATCAAGGGAAGATACTTGTGTCTAAGAACCAAGTGCAGTGGCTGTCAGGCTGCTCAGCTCAGAACTAGGGATTGTGCTGCCCTGCCTGCTGGGTGGCCCTCAGTGCTGAACCTCAAAGGCTGTTACTCTCTGTGGCAAAAAAGAAGTAACTGTGTGCCCACAGAGAATTGGTGCCAGGTCCAGTGGTGAGAAATGTCCCTGAAGGTGGCCAGGTTGTGTGGCAGCCTTAGCACCAGAAAAGGCAGAAAGACTGGGTTTCAGTCTGCACTCTGCCTCTTACTCGCTATGTGGCCTTGGGCAAGTGCTTGGCCTCAGTTTTCCTAATTCTGGAAGGATAAAACATACTAAGAGAGCCATCCATACAGGATTAGAATAAATGAGAAACTTACATGGTTTGACTTATAATAAATATGATAATGAAGATGGGGGCAAATGTGGGAGGAAAGACAAACAGCAGAGACACCTGGGTACAGATTTGGCACTATGGACCCCTCTCTGGGTAGTGGCCTACTTGACAAACTCTCCACCAGCTCAGGCTAAGCACATTATTGATTTAGGTGGACTGCTTTATATCACTCCAATACTCAGCAGTTAACTGATTCATGAAGGAAATAAGCTTGAAGTCCCCACAAGCAAATATTCTCTAAATGTGCTAGAGGAGAGTTAAATGTATCCCCTTGACATGAGATGCATTATTATTGGACATGAAGAAGTTGTCAGCCTAGGAACAAAGGGTCTTGCCTTCTGTGGTCAGGCCCTGATGTCGCTCCCATTTTCAGTCCAGCACAGTGCCTTGCATAGAATATTTGCCCACTAAATGCTTCATAAGCAATAATGAGAGACTAAATAGGAAAAACACAGCCAGGTTAAAGGTAGCCAAGTAAGTAATAGACTGGGCATCTGGTAACCTAGGCTTCTGTCGCATCTCTGCTGTCCTGGCTGATCTGTAAAACCTTTATTCTCTCCCCTTACAGGAGCATGAAAAAGGCCATGACCTAGAGTAGGACTGATCTGGCCATAATTTTCAACCAGATGCAACCTAGCTATCTATAGAGAGAGTAAGGAGAGGTGGCCTGGGCTGTCTGGCTCAGGAAGTTATGGAGAAAAGTAAAATCAGGAGAAAGGAGAAAATCAGTTGATTCCCTTGTGCTCAAAATGTAATTAAGACTTTCCAGACTAGAGGGACCCAGACAGAGAGGACCCCAAGCCTTTTCAGATAGGGATATGTACAAGCAGAGAACAGCAAGTGCAGTAACAAAAGAGACAGGATAGCCATTGCCTTGGCAGTTCCTGAAATGGGATATGTAGCTGTATATAGGATTTAATTGAACAGGAAAAGTCAATAGAGCATTGAGGTAGAGAGAGGAAAGAATGGATTTTTGTAAATGTCATCTTTTACCTTTTGACTGCTCTCTGGAGTATGGCACCCTCCTAGAGATCTTCTTTGATAATAAAAAGCCATTTGAGAATAAATAAGACTCATACCTTAAGGAACTCAAAGCTATGCTAAATGCAGCTATGCTGATGATGAAGACCCCACTCAGGTGTGTGCCTGCTCCAGAGCAAACCATCCCATGGTCTCCACCCAGACCTGCCTACCCTGTGGAACTTTGAGTTTATAGGGTAAGACAGAGCTCTTCTCATCTGTTTCTGTAGATTCAGAAGACTCAATCCTACAGAAGGGAAATGTGGGTTGGAATACACTGCAGGAATCCCTTCAGTTCCACTTTGAACTGATCCACCTGCTCCCCATCTCTGTTCTGGCCATGTTCAAGGGAAAATTGGATTCCTAAATGCTATTCACGAGTCCACTTTAAAAGGCAGCTGTTTGAGGGCTGAGGTTGTGGCTCAGAGGTAGAGCGCTCTCCTAGCACAAGTGAGGCACTGGGTTCGCTCCTCAGCACCACATAAAAATAAGTAAATAAAATAAAGGTATCATGTGCAACTACAACTAAAAAAATGTTTTTTAAGAAAAGAGGCAGCTGTTTGGTCTAGAAATTCTTCAAAAGGCTGGGAATGGAACTACCATATGACCCAGCTATCCTACTCCTTGATATTTATCCAGAAGAACTAAAATCAGCATATTGTAGTGATACAGTGTTTACAGCAGCTCAGTTCACAATAGCCAAGTTTTGGGACCAGCCAGGTGCCCATAAACAGATGAATGAATAAGGAAAATGTGGTACATATACACAGTGGAGTTTTACTCAGCCATAAAGAAGAATGAAATTATGGCATTTGCTGGTAAATGAATAGAACTGGAGAACATCGTGCTAAGTGAAATAAGCCAGACTCAGAAAGTCAGGGCTGAATGTTTTCTCTCATATGCAGAAGCAAGAGCAAAATAAGGAGGTGGGGGGAGTTTGGGGGCCACTTCAAAAATGGGAGGTAGATCAGTAGAGTGGAGTAGAGGAGCAGGGTTGAGTGGGAAGGGATAGGGATGGGAAAGGGGAGGAACTATGAAATGAAGTCAACCAAATTATGCTGTGTGCACATGCGAATGTACCACAGAGAAGCACCCATACGTAAAAATAATAAATAGATGAAGGGAAGGCCAGAAGGCCAGTGGAGTAGAAGAGGTAGAGCAGGGGTGGGGGAGAAAGGGAGGGATGGAAGAGGTACTGGGGACTGAAAGGGAACAAATTATATTCCATGCATGTGTGATTGTGTCAACATGAACCCACAATATTA